GATGTTACCAAGTACTTTCTTGGGTACAGAATGTTTTTCAAAACTCTTAGCAACATGCTTGGCATATGCTCAATTTGCACAGAACCATCTGTCTAACTCAGTGTGTGTCCTTGCAGGAGACATTGTGACCCTACATGAGAAGAAAGAAGAAGGATGGTGGTTCGGCTCTTTGAATGGGAAGAAAGGCCATTTTCCTGCCGCCTATGTGGAGGAGCTGCCTTCAAAGGCTGGAAACACAGCTACGCAGCCATAAAACAAGACAGGACAGATGGGTGGCCTGACATATTCTGTAAACGATGTGGTGCAAACAAAGAGGACAGCTATCATCTTTGCAAACTTTTCCTATGCAGTGGGTGGTAGTGACCTACCTGCATCTCACAGTGCTACGTACCCAGGGTTGTTAGCTCAAAACAGAGTCAAATAAAAGACAGTTGGACTGAAGCACAGAAGTTTATGAGTTCCTAGAATTTCTAAAATCTAAAACCCTACAGAAGATCCACTCTTGACAAAATCGAGATGGTTACCTCAAGTGACTTCAGCCACTTGACCAAAGTCACATCATTATCTAGAAGGAAGAAATAATTAAGATTAAGTGCCTCTTTCCCTTTAGCTTTAGGTGGCAACAAGACACAGCATGCCTATGAGGGGTCAAGCAAAGCCTGGGGGAAAACAAAACAAAACAACAACAACAAAACAGACCAAAGCCAAAGCCAAAACCAAAACTAGCAGTGACAGACAAGTAGGATACAATGTGATAGACACAGTAGAATAAAATGTCAGGAGCCAGGTCCCAAAGTCCACTGGGTTGTGAGTGCAGAGGGGGATGAGACAATGAAGTCTAGACTTTCAGCAGAGAATCTCAGGGCAGAATAAAGTTTCAACCCATGACCTTCTGAGGTAGTGACTCCTCAGCCCCTGTCCATCACCACCAGCACTTAGAGTGAAGTCAAATGCAAGCCACAGATGACTTGGATCTGAGGTAAGGCAAATAGGAATTGCAAGGAAGGAGGTGGTATGTGAAATTTCATGCTTTCTTTTCTGTATGGGAACTTGTTTTGTCCATTGGGAAACTAGGTCATTGTGGAAGGAAGAACTTATGCAGCTTCCTACTGGAAGGAACTTTAATGCCATTAAGAACTTAGTTGAAGTAGAAAGTGGAACCCCCCCCCCAAAAAAAGAAAGTAGAACCCAACATTCCCAATCAAAATGGAACTTTTGTTGTCATTTGGTGTGCTGTGGGGTGTGTGTGTGTGTGTGTGTGTGTTTTAAGACAGGATCTCATTATGTAGCCCTAGTTTATCTGGAACTCACTATGCAGTCCAGGCTGGCCTTGAGCTTGTAGAGATCTGCCTGCCTCTGATTGTACTTCCAAGTTCTGAGATTACAGGCCAAAAAGGTACACTTATGCAGTTTCCTGAATGTCCTTTCATTAAAAAAAAAGTTTGAGAATAAAAGCGAACTTCCTCAAGGGTGCCAATGCATAATGGACATATTGGATAGCAGCTTGCAGGAAATGGAGATCACACACCCTAGTGAATGAAAGCATGATGCTGATGGAGATACTCACACGTCTTAATTCTCTGCCACATAGAATATCCTTTTAAAGCATCCATATTTGCATCTGTTAAAATCCTCTCACTATTCTCCTGTGCCCTCCTTTTCCTTTAACTTGCAATTTTTTAAAAGGGAAATTTTCAAATTGGGGGACATCAATGGTAAATGTGTTATTACATTCCTATCTAGCACATAACTAACACAATATTTGATACAGATAGCAAACCTCAAGGAATTCAAGTAAAATTTATTATATGAAACATAACATAAAACCTAGAAAAACAGCCTGAGACTGTTCTTTGCTCGTTTACTGGTGTTTTGAAATTTTATTATTCAAAAAACTTGCAAGTAAATAAAAATATCATGCATAAAATTTAACCAGACCCAAAGTCTGTACAACTCAACAGCTAGACTAGGCATTCGGAATGGAAGCCTTCATGGTTCATGTTCAATTTTACACTTTCACTACCAAACATGCTTATGCACTTATCCACCACCCAAAACAAAAAGCCCATGACAGGGTTAGAACTAGGGAACAACAATTAGCTTTATGTCCTGTTTCATAATTCATGCCCATTCCCTGTATTCAGTCCTTCCCCATTCCCTTGTGTTTAACACATCTTAAAGTATACTGTAAAGAGAACAAGAAACTGTTAACTTTTAACCCTAATGGCTTGTTAGTGACAGCTTCAGCCTTTGGAAAGGTGGCAGGCCACCAGACAACAGAGTTTGAATTTATATTTCCTTTTTGCATCCTACTTCACTCTACTGAGCTTTAATGGGCAAAAAATAAATGTGTAGCAATAGACTTCAGGCTGGACTAGTTTGCACATAGGGAGTAATAATTGTGGTTTGGAGTGAAAGTATTCAGAAAGGGGCCTCTCTTGGTACATCTGTAGTGCTTTGTCAGAATCAAATGGTTTCCTTCTTTGGGAAGGCTGCTGAAAAGTGCTATTACATCTGAGATAGGTAATTTTTTTAAGTCGCCCCGCCATTTAGCAAACTCCCTTTCATCTAGCTTTTTCAAGCATATGCTGCAGATAGCTTGAGGAAGGGTAGAGTGCCCTGGGACTCAGAGTGAAGAGACTGCTCTGATCTCAGTTCCTTCTGTCCAGGTACATAACTGGTTGGGCCCCATACCTCTCTGGGCTCAGCTTCCTCATCAATGCATAACCAGAAAGATAGGTTCTCTGGTCTGCAGTCACAGCTTCTCATTTTAAGGTTAGTGGTCTGAGATTCAAGTCATGCCTATAGAATCTGACAGAGGAAATGTGTGTGAGTTTCAAGGAAATACTGCAAAGGGAATGTGCAAGAGTCTGGGTTCAAATTGTTCCTTCCAAATACTATAGCTGTAGACTAAATAAAATACAAATATAATTTGCTATGGTAGACCTATTTTAACATAGCTCTACTTACATTGTAAGGCAGGAATTTCCAGCCAGGCAGATTGGGTGGACCTCTTAGATTTAGGATGAAATTAAGAATGGATTAGGTGGAAATTTATAATACATGCAAGTCTTTTGTATAGAATACAATATTTTTAATATTAATGCTCTTAAGCTGTGAACTAGGCTTTTAATAATTATGTCACTAAGCAGTGGAATATATGCACATATTTCATGTGTCAGAAGTTTTTAGTGCTGCTAATAACCTGAAGTATGGACCACAGAAATCATAGCCAGCTCTTTAGTGACCATGAATTTTATTCTATGTGCTCTCCTTATTAACAGAGCAAAAGCTGATGAGTCTATCATGTCACCAAACACAAAGATACACTAATTTGTTTTCTTCACATTTTCCATGACACATCATTATTACTCTCAATGGTAAAAGGAATTTTAATCACTTAAAATACTTTATGTCCATAAAAATGATGTCATAATCAATTTGGTGTACAATTTATTATACAGGATTATAAGCCTTTAATACCTTAAGGGCAGCTTAGCTATATTCTTCATCAACATGAAATCACTGCTTCTCAGTATCTTGATGCTCTGAGGGCTAACAAGTTTGATGAGAACAATAGAAGAGCATTAGAATCAAAGCAGCACACCCTTATTGTCTTTTTGCAATTCATGTGGAAGGAATGTACAAGTCAGAGAGGGTGAGAGGGACAAGAAGGCGGGACTCAGACTTGGACCAGAGTGTGGGAACACAGCAGAGGGCAGGGACTTTTTGTACATCATATCTTCATTCTCTGTAGTCCTGAGCAGGTGCTGTTTGATAGTCTGGAGACTTCTCAGCCACCCAGGTTCTGAAGGCAGCTACTTCATCATTTTAATACTATTTCCAGACAATTAGACAGAGTGCCATATTCAACACAGTTTACTCTGTTTTTGTTGGTGTTTCAGTGGTTTTGGTTTTTCGAGACAGGGTTTCTCTGGGTAGCCCTGGCTTTCATTGAACTTGCTATGTACCAGGACTGGCCTCAAACTAAGAGATCTGCCTGCCTCTGCCTCCAACCCCTGGGACTAAAGGTGTGTGCCACAACCCAGCACTCATTTTTTAAAACTGTTATTTAGCTACGGAAACACAAAAGCTGAATTATAAGTCCTCAAATTTTTGAATCTGTTGACAACTTTGTGGTCACATAAACACATGTGGTGTAGTTAAGGTAGAGTTCACAGGTTCAGTTGTCATCTGAGTTTGAATCCCCATTCTAATAGTAAGAGCTATGTGATTTGGAGGTATATAAATTTTACATTTAATTTCTTACCTGCAGAATAGAGTTATTAATGGCTTCTATTTCATAAGTTGAGAGAAGACTAGTGAACAGATGTACAGCAAGATCTTAGAAATACTGGGTTCATTGGAACTGCTATAAAATGTACTCTATAACTTACTTTGTAGTCGACTGGTATTTTGTTATGCCAAATACCTAAGCTCTTTCTCTATTCAGAAAATTTTAATTTCCCACCAATGGTGGTTTGGATGAGAATGGTTTGGTTCCCAGTTAGTGGAGTACTTAGGGAAGATTAGGTGCTGTGGCTTTGTTGGAGGTGTGTAACTAGGGGTTGGCTCTGATAGTGTTCATATATTTTGGAAAACAAGGGCTGATTTCCAAAATACATAAAGAACTCAAGAAAGCTGACATCAGCAAACCAAATAATCCAATTAAAATTGGGTTTCAGATCTAAACAGACTTCTCAACATCGTCAGGCACACATGCCATGCATGGACAGAAGAGAACAATTGTGGGGATTCAGTTTCCTCCTAATATGTGGGTCATGGGACTAAACCTGGGTCATCAGGTTTGGAGGCAGGTATTTGTACCTATTGAGTTATCTCATCAATATATGCTTTACTTTTTAAAGGGTGTGTTTTACTTCATCAATTTTCCTCTAAGATTTTAATGAGAATAATTAAAGAAATACACCTGTGAGGGAGGAAACCATTTCCCTTCCATTCTTATAAATTCATTCTGAAGAGACAGTTACAAAGACTGGTTCACAAGAGAAAACTAATCAAGTTTATTAACACATGCAAGCACACTGTACAGGAGAAATTAACAGAACTCCAAACTGGCTTAAAACTCACATTTACACAGCATCTTCAACAGAGAACAGCTGGATTTTACAGACATAAGACAGATAGCAGGTTTGGCTTTGGCTTCCACAGATAGGGAATTATGGAGAATAAATTTACAGGAATATTGTCCATACCTCTGGTGCCATGTCTGAGGTGGTAGGAGATCTCTTTAGTAGTTAAGTTCCATCTTTGTGGGTACGGGGCTAGACACCTTTATAATTTCAGGTCCCATGTTTGGGCAAATTGAGGGAGGGCCCAGCAGTTTTATAACTCTGCTGCTGTTTAACTGTTTTTGTTAAGAGTTATCTCAAAGGTGCATGTTTTGGCATGATGAATTCTAGTTTCCTTCATACCACACAGAAACACTGAAGAATCACAGAGAGGCAAAAGATGAACATTCTTTTAGGTTATATACAATAACAAAGTAGAACAAAATGTGACTTACAATTTCTACATCAATTATAAACTGTAGCTATAAAAGCTTTCCGAACATTAGCAAGAAACGCTGAAAAATTGTTGGTCTTCCTGACTTTCTCCTGAAATTCTGCTAGGCACTCAAGATAAGGTGAGCAGTCAGACACTGGAAGAAAGAAGAAGACACTTTACATGAGGGGCTCTCTGCATGTGGAGAAGTGTTTCTAATGTAGGCTCTGAGCTGGTTTCAATGACCATTATATTTTGTTGAAATGCTCTAAGCATAAACAAATATACTTGAATTCAGTTATCTTTTAGTCCTTTCCTTAATCCCTAACTATTCAACTGTAAGTACCACAGTCCCACTTTAAGCCCAAGCAAGGGGCTGAGAGCTGAGTGTCACCGAGGCTATTTCCATCATCTTTCACATATACATTTTGTTTTAACTATTAGAAGACATTTACTGTGTAAAACATTAGCCTGACTTCTAAGTTTCTTGCCACAATATGGAAAAAAACGTAACTTTGAATGCCAATCCTTTTTTTCTTTTTCCTTTTTTTTTTTTTAACATATATTATTGTTTCTTATTTTACATATCGATCCCAGTTTCCTCTCCCTCCCTCCCATGCCACCCAACCCCTGTCCCATTCCACACACCACCACCCCCCACTCCACAAGGAGGGTGATGCCTTCCAGGAGGGGTCAACAAAATCTGTCAAGTCATTTGGAGTAGGGTCTAGGCACTCCCTACTGTCTCTGGGCTAAGGGAATGTGCTCCCAAAGTCCTTTCATGCACCAAGGATACATCCTGGTTCCACTGTCCGAGGTCCCTTAGACTGCCCAGGCCTTCTAACTGAGACCCACGTTCAAGGGGTCTGAGTAGATATAATGCTGGTTTCCCAGCTATCAGTCTGGGGGTTCATGAGCTCCCCCTTGTTCAGGTCAGAAGGGGAGGAGAGGAGAACATGTGGGACCAGGAAGATTGAGTTGGGGAACAAATAGATGAGAGCAAAAAAAGAGATACCATAATAGAGGGAGCCATTATAGGTTTGAAGAGAAAACCAACTCTAGAGAAATGTCCAGAGACCTACAAGGATGACCCCAACTAACAATCTGAGTAACAGTGGAAAGGCCACCTTAAATGCCCTTCCCTGAAAATGAGATTAATAACTAACTTATCTATCATTTAGAGCCCTCATTTAGTAAACGATAGAAACAGAAGCAGACACGCATAGCTAATCACTGAGCCAAACTCCTGGAATCCAGTTGCAGAGATGGAGGAATGATAAGAAAAGGGTTCAAGACCAGGTTCCTTGGTTTTTTTTTTTTTTTTTTTTTTTGAGACAAGATTTTGCTATATTAGTGTGGCTGGCCTGGAATCTTTATGTAGACCATAAACTCAGAGATCCATCTGTTTCTGCCTCTTTAGTGCTGGAATTGAAGGCAAGAACAAATACACCTGGCCTCTATGAAAATCTTAATAATTTATGGTTTTTGAAATATCCAAGATTAAAAAAGTATTAATTTTTTATTTTTAAAACAACCATGTTCACATACCAATATCAGTTCCCTCTCTCTCCCATCCTCCTACTCCTCCTACCATTTCCCCACCCCATCCCTCTATCCACTCCTCAGAGAGGGTGAGACCTCCCATGGGGAATCATAAAAGTCTGTCACATCATTTGGGGCAGGACCAAGGCCCTCCCCACTTTATCTAAGCTGAACAAGGTATCCCTCCATAGGGAATAGGCTCCAAAAAGCCAGTTCATACACTAGGGATAGTTACTGGTTTCAGTGCTAACGGCCCCATAAACTGCCCAAGCAATATTAAGATTTTTACAAGTGCAATGGAAGTCAGCGGAAAACAAGGTTACTGTTCCAAGAGTGGTATTTTCAGGGTTCACTACTTAAATGAGAAAAAAAAGTCACAAGTTACAAAGATCCTCATGTCAGCTGTACATGTTGATAGAATAAGCAAATCTCCAGTGTGAATTGCCAACAGAATGATCCAGCTCTTTCCACCATTAACTACCTCCTTAATTCAGGAGTAAGAACTTGACCATATTGCTTTCTGGCTTTAGTAGAGTTTGCTTGAACGGCACTACAGAGAAACAGCAGAGTACTTGGTTCAAAATTTATTCTGTGAGTTTTATTTTAATACACTATCAAACACTGTGAGTGTTTCTCCTGTTGCTATGATACTCTGATAAAAGCAAATTAAGAGAGAAAGACCTTATTCCAGCTCACAGTTCAAAGGTCAATCAAGCATGGTAGGGAGGTCAAGACAGGAGCTTGTAGCAACTGGTCCCCTGGCACCCATAGTCAGGAAGTAGAGATCAATGCATGCATATTCCTGCTCAGCGCCCTTTCTCTACATTTACATACAGTTCAGGGTCCCAGACAGGAAATAGCTCCACTTACCGTAAGGTCTTCCTGCCTCAATTAACACAAGAGAATTACAATATTCAGTGATTCTAGACTGTGTCAAGTAAACAATTCACACTATCACAAATAGACTATGTATTAATAATATATAATTTAGAGACAGTTGGAAAACTAGGAAGAGTTTGGGGGGTTTGTTCTTTGATACCTAGCACTCACTTGATTAAAAGACAATTACCAAAGAGAACATTCTCAAATATTTTGTGGATGAAGATTCTCCAAATCTGAGTCCTATAGGATGACAGTGAATCACTGGAACCCCAGAGTCAAACAGCACCCTGGGTATCTATCTGCCAGCTATACAAGCTTAAAAATAATATCACAGGTAAGAATCATTTTTGTGAATGCCAACAAATTAAAGTGAATTTATATAAAGGACTAATTAAGAAGATAAAAACTTTGACCTTAGTGTTCACACTGTTAACATTCCCTATAAATTAAAGGCTCTCTGACATGCTGAAGAACCAGTAACTAAAACCACACTGAATATGTGAGGCTTTTCGGATGATACAGTCTTTTAAAAAAACATATTTTAGGAAAGTAAATTATCACATTTTGATTATTTTTGCAAAATGACAATGACTAAACTAGCCACACTACCAGTCACAGTTTTAGCTTTAAGTTCTCTGCAAGGGTAATCAAGTTTACATATGAACTACAATGAACTTTGGTCTCAAGAGTTTTTTTCAGCCCCAATGATTCTGTGCCATCCTAGAGAGGTTTTACTTATTAGGGCCCCTAACTACATCTACATGGCAGAACTACTCTCACATCCTTTAGAGGATAGTACCTCAAGAAGAAACACTGAAAAGGAAACACTTTTGATTGTGCAAACACTACTTTCCTTATTCTAGGAGTCAAATGAGTTGAGGATACTGATCTTAAACATAAGTAAGAGACAATAATACATACCTTCATAATCTCTAGCTTCATTCAGGCTTAGGGAAAACATATATGGGCTCTCAGGATTCTTAGGATCAATACTAGTGAATATAAACTGCAATTTATCACCTAAAGAAAGAGAGTAAACTATTTAATATGAGACTACTTAGAATGCTAAGGCTCTTGATGGAAATATTTACACACACACACCAGCCCCTTCTTTGATCCTTATGTGACTTCTGTGTATTCACTTAACCAGTGTCTCCAAATATAGAACTTACAAGTTAGTTTAAATGACATTAAAAGCAGACAACAAAGGGAGAACAGTAAAGAAGGATATTAACTGACATTAACCTCTTTTTTCCTTCAAAAGGATATTATCAAGTAAATGAAGAAACTAACAAAGTTAGGGAAAATATTTGTAAATCAAATACCCACTAAGGCTTAAAAGCATGGAATATACTTAAAAACTCCTACAAGTTGAAAACACAAAAGCAGAGATTTAAGCTGGTCATTGTAACCAGAAGTGGAAACAATCTAGTGTCAGCTGTTCCCCCTTGTAGATGAACAGTTAAACACAACATTGTATACATATACAATATACATATATATGTACATATATATATATACACATACAAACATTGCCCAGACATAAAAAGGAATGAACTTTTCATATATAACTACAGTATGGACAAACCTTGGAAATATAATGCTAAGATGCAAAAGAACAAATATTGTTTGATTCAATAATATAAAAAACTAGAATAGATAAGACAAATTTACAGAAACAAAAAAGTAAATTCAAGGTTACTGAGAGCTTTAAAAAAAATTCTGTCTGGGGTGATAAAAAATAAAAATAATAGAAATCCATAGTGGTTGGAGATGGTCACACAACACTGTAGATGTAATTAATGTATGAATTATTATACACTTTAAGATGATTAAAACGGCTTAGTTTTATATTATACACATCTTACTACAATAAAACCTATATTGTTAAATGAATTCATTTTATATTTTTTATGCTAATTATCCAAAAATAGCCTGAAATGTTTCCAAAGAAGTAAATGCCTGGCTGCCACAATGTATAAATTCACATACATTTTAGTTTCTTCTATAGCATAAAAAATTAAGCAATCTTAAAGTTCTTAGTTATAAAAGGAAATCTTCAGAAACTTAGGAAAGACTTATCTTACAACCAAATTCAAAATAAAGTAACTGTCAGTACACCAGATTTTAGAGTGTTAATTAATAGTACTGGGAAGGATATGCATGCCAAGGAAGATTTGGTAATATATTCAGTTAAACAAAATGAGTTTAATTTGGGGTTTTCTCTTCCCATGAGTACACAGAAGAGGACACTTCTCTTAGAGTCACCAATAGGCAAAGAGTCCTTTTGTGGTCATTTGTGGGTTGGTACTCCCTACTTCCAGGTCACCAAACAATCTATCAGTTATGCAGTGGACACAGCTTGTCACCCTTTTATTTATTTCAGTTCTGATGCTCTCTTCTTAAAAAGGTTGTTATCATCCATTCCTCTGGTTCAATTAATCTGCTTAAGCAGCTTTCACAAGTCAGGGAGATGCTTTACTTTATAATAAAGGATGCTAGTTGGTTTCAAACACACACTGTGCCCTCCCCACCATCAATATCACACAGTAACAATAAATAACACAGCTAAGGGGGGAAGAGGGTATCGAGAAATGGGGTCAGCAGGGAAGGGCACTTGCTACTAAGCCTGATGACCTGAATTCAGTCCCCAGAACCCACATCATTCTCCCAAGCTGTTCTCCGACCCCGAAGAGTGCAATGGCACACATTCACTCACAAATGGTACATATGTGCACAAAATAAATGACTTAAAAATGCAATCAATAAAATATCTTAAATTTGGACATGCAGGAGAAATATACATAGGATTCACAACTAACTGGTTCAGGAATCCACTACATGTCTTCAAATATATTCCCCATGAATTAAAGGTCAGTACATACACCAAGCCTTATAGTGAAGATCCCAAATACTATCCATTTAACCAATGAACATATATGTATATAATAGCTATAAAAATACTCCCGTGCTTTTTTATATAGCAACTCCCCTCTGAGAAAGGATCTTCCTAAGTGACAAAGTATGTGCACTATTTCTAAAGCTAGAAAACAGATATAATCCAGTTGCTCATAGCAATCCAATTGATAAAAGATAGAATAAATCACATTCATTAATAGAATGAGTAGTTACACCAGCGTTCACAAATCACCATTCTTAAGGCAACTTAAGATGATACAAGTGCCACTGAAAACCAAGAACAGTAAATATTTGCATATTTTTGTTGTTGTTTGTTTTGACAACCATATTTTCATTAGAAGCCTAGATAAATAAAACAGCAATACTTGTATTTAGTTGATTAGAAAGGCGGAGCTTGACCTATTTTCTAAAAACCTAATGACGTGCTTACTAGGTTAGCTGAAAATATCTTAAGACTCTTTCCTTAGATACCCCTTTTCTAATCTTCTATATACTAGTTACATCAATGAACTTACCATGAACCTTCCTAATTTCTAGTCCAAGGTGATCTCTGTACATGTCCGCTGATTTCTGCAACCGTTTCAATTTCTCTTCATTAGCTTTGTTAGCAGTAGAAATGGCTACGATTTAAAAAATGTCAAATATTTCTCAATTTAAGGCTTATTGAATTAATTTTAAGAAACTTGACAACAACCAAAATATTATGCCAGGTATATTAATCTGTTTATATTTATTCAATTTCTAACTAACAAATAACAAAAGGGGCTTCTGTTCAAGACGAAAGAAAAGATTGCTAGAAATATGGATAATCAGGCCAGGACTTGTATAACTGGCCTAAAAAAAGATTTCATTATTATTGTTGTTGATGTTGTTTGCTGGATAGACAAATACTAATTGCTTCATGGGAAAAATATTTTATTCCTTTAGACATAGCTGCTTCCCATGAAAATTCAGCGTCATTTCATGCTGGTTTACAATTATTTTAACACATAAGTCTAACTAATAGATGGCAGATAAAAAGTATAAACTCACAATTTAGTCTTAGATGAGAACTCTGGAAAACCAAACTCCTAGTTTCAAGAGCTCTGAAGAGTTTGTAGGCTAGTAAATGTCCTTTCTAAATGAAGCATATTTGAATATGGAAGTTTTTACAGAACAAGGCTTTGTAGTATGAATGTTGCTAAACCAGACAGAGATAAGAATCTTTTTTTATCCTTTCAGCTTTACATTTACACACACACACACACACACACACACACACACACACACACACACACACACAGAGAGAGAGAGAGAGAGAGACTTTCATTATTTTTACCTCCTATTACCCTGTCTCATCTTTCTTCTGCTGAAACCTGACAGGTGCCCTCCCCTCCCTTACTTTCATGTCTTATGTGTGCATCTTGCTGAGTTTAAATGTGTTCCCTGCAGGAGCAAAGATTGAGTTTATTTATTGGGGGATAACTTGTGCAACTTATTATCAGCAGCTACACCACTGAAGACAGTAACACCTACTACCCCCAGCCCACACTGTCAGTAGTCCTCTGAGTGTGGGATCTCATGGGCCTGTCTTCCTACCTATGTTGACTGGGCCAAACTTATGCTGGTAACCACAGCTGCTGAGAGTTCATGAGCACACTGGCTATGTCACGTCCAAAAGACAATGTTTCACAGCACTCCTCTCCAAACTCCAGGCCTCACAGTCCCTGTGATGCTCTCTGCGGCAGGAGGAGAGTGAGTGTGATATAGACATCCCTTTTAGGGGCAGCCGCATATTCTCTGTACTTTCACCAGTTGGGAGTCTATGCATTAACTGCCTGGCAGAGATTTTATGGTCCATAAATGTTTGTGATGCATCCTTATAAAACCAAAACTCAGGAAGTAGAAGCAGGAGGACCAGAAGTTCAAAGGCATCATTAGTTATACATTTGAGGTCATCCCAGGCTACATGAGATACTAAAAGGCTTTGTCCAATTTCAGTTACAACCAGAGAAATAACAGTATGAGGGTCTGGTTGTACCTGAAATTGGACAAAACCTTTTAAGCAAAACAACAATCACAAAAAGAAAACCAAGCCCACTTGGTTGACCTAAGTAACACCTAGCAGAGATGCTAGGGTGGCTATGCCCTTAACTGTCACCCACTTACTTAGACATGAAGTAGAGCCAGCAAGATGTACATAATTGTGAACCATCCTGCCTTTGAAATTCAGCCAACTATGTTAGATGTAACCATGAACTTACTTTCCTTCTTCCTAGAATACTCTTCCTTAAGGTCCCGGATATTTGACATCAACACTTCCAATTCTTGCTTCTTGCCTTTTACTTTGTCAATCATCTTTAACAGGTTATCTTTCTTTTCTTGAATGAGCTTATTCTGCTTACAGAGTTCTGTAAGAAACACATGGCATTTAAAATACATATGGCCTACTCTCTGACATATAACTAAGAGAAACACAAAAATCATTGACTTTCCTAAGATCAATAAATTGTTTTTGCATTTTGTTTTGAAGATAGAGCCTATGTAAACCTAGGCTGGCTTCAGACCCACTATGTAGCAAAAGCTGGCCTCAGACTCATAAACCTTTGGCTTCTATCTCCCTAATATGAAGAGTACTTTGAAAAACATATTTCATGACTCAAAAAGCATAAATGTTAAAAGAGAATCTGTTTCATTAGTTGTCTTAAAAATAAAAAATGTTTCTAAATTTGAGAAACCAAATTAATTAACTGTGAGAGAACTTATTAACTTAACCAGGAACTGCCTGTAAGATATAGTACTCCCAGTGGATACACTTGACCCCAGTGAAGTATTAACAAACCAATACCCAACTCAGGGAAACAAGGACTCTGGAGGCAACTATGGTGTATTTAGGGAGTTAGTATGACAAGAAAATATAAACACAGCATCAAGGGAGTAGACTACTCCCTTGCAGAATTCAAAATAAATTTTGAACTTAATAAATACTTGAAAGACAACATGAAATCTTATAAAATCAGAAGAGCAGTATCTATAGGTACAAAATTAACCATTAGGGAGAAAGATCTGAGCTAAAAACAAATCAAAGAGAAAAGCTACAAAATTCAACATAAACTCAAATGAAAACAAAACTACTGAATGCTACTTTCATTGTTAAATACCTCATGGTTACATACTTTATTCAAGGCCAGGGTACTGTTACAGAACTATTACAGAAGAACTGCTTAGACTATGTGAACTAAAGGTTACTTAATAACTATTCTGCAACTCACTGAATCAAGCCCTCCAAAACCTATATCCACATGACATGCATCCCATTATCACAGCAAGTATTATATTTTAAGTATGGTCTTCCTGTCTTCATCTCCACTAAACTCTCCGTGTACCTTATGCACTGTTTCCTTAATCCAGGGCAAGAACAATCAAATGTTCATTGAACTTAGTTAAACTGTTATTCCTGTTCAACCAGTGTGTGTGTGTGTGTGTGTGTGTGTGTGTGTGTATACTGATGCTCACAGTGTGTGTTTTCCTCCAGTTTAAGTATTTAAAACATAGTGCCCCAAAACAAAATGTCTCTATGGCAGCTTCACTCATGGCCTCAGGTTTATGTATGAGGATTCAATAAAAGATGCATTGAAATATCTGGAGAGCTACAGAAACGAGAGGGGAAGAGTGGTGGTAAAAATTTGATTATTAGAATATTAACCAGACCCTAAAGTCCTGAGAAACTCCAGATTCCTTGGCTGGGATTTCCAATGGAAAAAAAAAAAAAACCTTTTTCTTTTTTCTTTCTTTTTTTTTTTTTTAAAGGCTGGCCTTTACACATAAGCACACACATACCTTATTTAATTAAAAAGAGACAGGATACATTATGAAATGATGCCATTCACATATTAAATATGTTACTGAACAAAAGCCACAGGGCTAGTAGGTGTAAAGATATTCAACTTTGAGCTGGTGACATGAATAGAATTTTGATGAATTCCTGTATGTGAATGTACAGACACTTATTACACATTCAGTCTAAAAACTGATCTATAGCTCTTCACATACGATTTTGATATTCTTGAAACATCTCCATCATCCTCTCTTCTTCCTTGAGTTTCAAAGACAGCTTTTCTGAAAGAAAAATGCAATACAGGTTTTGATTCTGCTGAGATAACAGTAGAAAGTAAGAACAGCAAAACCAGCAAGCTGGGAGTTACTGGCAGTACCTGAAAGGGCTCTGATGGAGTCCCTGAAGGCATCTCGAAGCCCCAGCACCTGACTAGGATTGTCACTGAGGCTGTTTCTGAACCTATCTCCAAATTCATTTATGCTTTTATCAAAGAGTGCCAGTTCGTCTTCAAACATTGTGCTAGACGCTGCAAAACAGAGCACACATACAATCGTTACCGATACCAAATAAAGGGGGTTGGGGTGTCAGGAAGGTCAGGAGTCAAAGGTCATCCTCAACAAAACCCAGGACCGGCCTGAAACACCTGAGACATTGTCTATAAACAGCAAGGCAGGGTGTCGTACACCTGTAGTGCCAGCACTAAAGAGGAAGAGGCAGGAGGATATCTGTGAGTTCAGAGCTAGCCTGGTCAACACAGAGCGCTCCGGGCTAGAACCTGTCTAAAAACAAAACACATCAAAACTCATCAACAGCCCAGGATGATTCCAGACACTTGGGCTTAACTGTGGTGAAAGTGCATCAGTCTGTTCAGAGAGAAGTAGCGTGTTGCATGACATGAAACTTCCAAGTCATGTTTTAACAGGACGCGGGCGTCAGCCAACTCGCCCTTCTAAGGACCTGCCCGCAGGCAAGGAGACCTAAGGTGGTCTCGGTTTTTTGCAGGAGCCCCCTGCGGCCACCTGGGTCCTGCTATACCCCGTGCAGGCTGGCGGGGGGGGGGGGACGCAAAGGGGGGGAGGCGGTACCGGGACCGGAGGGACGGAAGACGCAACCAGAACCCCGCGGCTGACAGCGGAGGCCCGCGTTCCAGGCGGCGCGGACACACGCCGGCAGGCCCACGCCGACTTTCCCTCACCGCGCGCGAGTGGCGAGCCCCACAGCCCTTCCGAAGGATCCCCGACCTGGGCGGCCAGGAACGCCACCGCCTTCTCCACACCGGACCAGAAGCCGCTCCACAGCCGCACACTTTCGATTTCAAACTCTAGACCGCCGCTACCCGCCAGCCAGCTCGCCTTCTGATTGGCTGGCGGCGTAGGCTCCCCGTGCAAGGATTGGTTGATATCGGCCCGAGGAATTCTCGCGGACAAACAAGGAGCAGGGCATTCTGGGCTTCGTAGTTCTTAGACAGACTATGGATCTGTAGTGAGGTAAGTGGAAGGACTTAACCACAGGACGAAGAAAAATGTAAACATTGAAATTTAATTGCATTCTTTTATGAAATGTATACCCCTCTTCTTTGTACTCATTTTAGTTTGGAAATGACAAAATATTCCTGAACTGACTCCAGTTATGGTTGATTAGGCAGCAACATCCTGAAAGTTACCAAATTATTTACCAAAACGATTTGAATTTCCCAATCTTCTCTAACATTGCTTTATCTTGAGTATTTTACTTATTAAATTTCTATGTTTGCGTGTGTTTATTGAACAGGGCATCGGATTCTTCGAATAGTTGCAAGACATTGGCAATTGGCTAGTCTACAGGAACAGCAGGCACTCTCCATCCTTGAGCCATCTGCCAGTCTGCCACATGTTGATTTTTAAACCTACTGGTCACAAGAACAATATGCTCCTGGATCTTGCAGAACTTCAAATTGAATGGGACCCGAATACTATCAAAGTAACCCATGCTCCCTGAAGATAGACAAGTAGGAGACACCAAGCTATTTTAAAACACATACTTTAAAAGTAGTATCAATAATAAAGATTTAAAACTAGATATGGTAGTTTGAATGTAATTGGCCCCCATAACCTCATAATCTCTCAGGGACTGGGACTATTTGGAGGTATGGCTTTGTTGGAGTAGGTGTAGCCTTGTTGGAGGAAGCATGTCACTATGAGGGGTGGCTTTGAGGATTCATATACTCAGGATGCTGCTCAGTGAGTCAGTCAACTTCCTACTGCCATCTGGTCAAGATGCAATCAGCATCAGGTCTGCATGTGGACTAATCATCTGAAACTGTAAGCTTCCAATTAAATGCTTTCTTTATAAGAGTTGCTGTGGTCATAGTGTCTCTTCACAGCAATAGTAAACCCTAACTAAGACACTAGGACTTGTTGGAAGCAAACTTTCAGTGGGGATGTAAACTTCACAGGTGAAGCAGACTTGCTATTTACATTTCTTTTTGTAAAACTGAGAAAAACAGGGAGTTGAGAATGTGTCCTATAAAGAAAGGGAACTAGAGATGGTTACTATTGAAAGATTAATTTATTGTTACTTTCATCTTTGCTTATGATACTGTTTTTGAAAATAACCTCCTGCTTGAAGATCAAAGGTCTTTACCATACAACTGTTTCTTTTGATTGCCTCGAAGTATCCAAACAGCAACTGCAAGATTAAGGTATCTCAGGGATGCCAGATTTTGGCCATTTAATCCTCAAGAATTAAAAATCAAGATTTATGAATCAGGACAAGTTATCATCATTTAGCATACCACAGTGTGTCTGAAAGTCACATTCTTGCCTGGGGCCTGTTAGTAACAAGTTTAGCCACCTTTGCTGAGGGCCCAGGTTGTGTTCTTAGTAACCACGTGTCTCCATGGACGCTCCCATTCATTTGTACATATAGTGCCCCAACAAACACGACTTTTATTCATTTATTTATTGTGTATAGGTGTTTTGCATGCATATATGTTTGTGTGCCATGTGAGTACATAGTGCCCTTGGAGGTCAGAATAGGACATCAGATCTCTGGAACTGTAGTTGCAGACAGTGAGTCACCGAGTATAGAGGCTGGGAATGGAATACAGGTCCTCTGGAAATGCGCCAGTGCTCTTAACTGCTGGTCTATTCCTCTAACCTCACAAACACATTTTCTTAAATTAAATTAAATCATTTTAATGATTTTTAAAATTGGACCTATAGTTTGCTGTGAAAAGCCTTTGATTTTAAATGTGGATGCACTAACCTCTGCTTTGGGGTATGTGGTAGCATTCATCTTACCTTTCGTGTCTTGGGTGCCTTAGGTCTTCAACTGGCTGAATGCTAATACTTGCTCTAGTTTTTCCACTGACACTAAGATTCAAGGCAGGGTGCTATCTGAAGGCCTTTTCCTGCTCACCTTTCCACTGTTCTTCCTTTGGCCAGTGGGTGATGAGAGTCTAGGTGCCAAGGACTGCAGACTGAGAAAGAGATTGCCTTTAGCAACATAAGGTTTCAGAGTGGCCTACTCTAGGATGGAGATTGCTTTCTTTGTGGGAGTCATGGAGGTTGAGTTGTTTCTGTATTTGATCTTGCTGTGTAGGCTAGGCTAGCTTTGATAACCCTCCCTTCCTCCCTCCCTACAACCTCTTATTCCCTCTCTTTTTTTCCATATTCAGTTTTGGACAGGTAGCCTGGCACATTCCAGACAAGCAGTCTACATCATATCTCCAGTCCTCTTTTTTATTTAAAGACAGTCTTACTATGTTGCTTAGACTGATCTTGAACTTGTAATCCTCCTGCCTCAGCCTCCTGAGTGGACTAGGCTTCTGGCCTTGATCTCTGTTCTTCCTTTGCTAGCCTCCTGAGTGCTTGTACATCATTACACCTGTGTGTGTACATCATCATACCCAGCCATAACCACTGACTTTTTGTCCAGGCTTCTTTTAAACTAAGATATAAGAAAGAAATCGATATCATTTGTCAAATTTCTAGTATCTGGAAGACTGGATAGAGAAAAATATGCCCGCCACCACCACTTCTTCTCATCAAGAAATAGCTTTCTAAGCCTTTGAAAGGAGAAAGCAGAACTTTTCTATCACCATCCATAAACACTGTCATCATATCCATCACTATATTCATATGCCATTCATTTCAACCCAAGCAGTATTTATTGTGAATCTATTAAGTTGAAATGAATGCTGCCTTCTCTGGAATATATATGGTCTATGACCTGTGTTGTCTTTCTTCAGGGTGGTGAGGAAAAAGATATTACATCTTGCAGTCAGTGCTTCTCAAAACTAAGGTTCCATACCTAATAACATCACCACTCTCTGAGAGTTCAGTAGACATATACTCGAAGGCCCTGCTCCATTACTACTAAATCTAAGACTCTGGAAACAAGTTTCTGAGGTATTGGTTTTAACAAGCCATCTAAGTGAGGAGGATGCAAATTAAACAGCAAACTCACAGCAACTTTCCTGCTTCCGTCTCCCTAGTGCTGGGAACAGGTGCAAACTATCATGCCTGACTAGCAACCAGTTCCTTGAGAGAGAAAGTAGAAGAGTGGGTGCCAGTGCCCAGGAGATGGAGAATGGGATTTATTGTTCAGTAGCCAGTGAGATATGTGTATTCGGAGTTTTTGTTCTGCCTGGTCCCACAGCTGTTTAGCCCCAAATGAACACACAGAGACTTATATTAATTATTAATCTGTTTGGCTGATGGCTTAGTCTTCTTACTGGCTAGTTCTCTCTTAATTATTAACCCATAACTACTAATCTATGTATGTCTACATGATTTTATCTCACCGAGAATTTCCAGCATCTTTTCTTCCCAACAGTTACATGGTGTCTCCTGATGGCTCCTCTCCTCATCTCGTAGCCCTGCCTATACTTCCTGCCAATCAGTGTTTTGTTCATCAACCAATAAGAGAAACACATGTACAGAAGGACATCCCCCATCAGATATAAGTGGCAGTAGTGGTGGTACAACGGTGTTAATATAGTATCTATGCTACTATGCTTAAAAAGAGTTAGGTTGTAAATAATATTTATTTTTATATATTTTACCACATTTTCGAAAACCTGAGACGACTGTGTTGCAGAGGAAGTGCTCCCTCAGCCATCTAACATGAACTCAACTACATTAGACCTTAGCCACACCAAGAAGAAAATGAAAAGCACTATTCCCTGGGCAACGCTATTGGTTTCTCTGTGATCCAAGTCTCAGCTTATGGGTATATAGGTCATGATCAGTTCTAGAAAGTAGTTCATAATGAGACTAATGGAAGGGGTACCTGAAAGCTGTGGCAAGATAATTTATAATAGTGTCATTACTGAATGTCAGTATTCCTGGGATGCCAGCCAGAATGGAGGTAATTATTTTCTAAAAGTCACTAGAGTCTAAACTCTAGAGTCTGAAATAAATCCACTTACTCTGCAAGGCGACACTGGAGAGTTCTCAAATATGATTTATTTTAGAAAAGGCGGATAGGTTTGTTAGAAAAGGATAATGGCCATGAAGACATTTAAGGCCTATTTTTGTT